AAAAGAAAAAAAAAAATCTGAACACTATGAGTGTAGGAAAAAATCACACTGACCAATGAACTGAACAGACTTGTTAAACAAGGTGCTTAAGCTTCACTGCCTCACTGATATACAAGGAATTCAGTAAAGGTTTTGGTTTAGTTATTTTAAAATAGTTAAAATGCTTCTGCCCAGGCAGGAATTAGTCTTTGGGAGACACAGAAAAGGTGTCAGCCACAACACTGTCTTCTGTCAGTCAAGCCTGCCACCTGTGGAGGAGGTGGCTTTAGCGTTGACAGCAGCGGAACTCAGAGAGCCTAGGTCAAGACCTGGTGGCCCAAGGATTAGCGCCTGACTGCCCGATTGTCTTCAGAGTCTTTCTACCAGAGCATCTTTGCTGAGGGGCAGGCAAGGATTGAGAGGCTTAGTGAGGCAGCTTTGTCTCCCACCGTATTTGCTAAGGACAAGGCCCTGGAGGTGGCTGGGCTGGCTGTGTCGTTCCTGTTCCTCTCTTGGGCCAGGAGGCTGCCTTGCATCTCGCGGCTGTGCTTCCTCTGCTTGAGAGCGGGAAGCGAAGAGCAGACTGGCTCCTAGTGCCTTTGCTCAGTTTGCTTGTGTCTGCTTTTGATGGCCCAAGATGGGACTGCGCTCCTTGGAATTGCTTAGTTGTAGTTTTCTGTCCACTTCTAGGACTCTGGAGCCAGAAGGACCTTAGAGGAGGCATGAGCCAAGACCAAAGCACGCTATCCAGGAGCTCCTCTGCACCCTTTCAGTATATTTTGTTGCAGGCATCGTTCCCCTAAAGGGAATATATATGACGGCTTTTGTGACCAGGGAAAAACATAAGTGGTAGGGAAAGTGATGACCCGACAGGGGCAGAGGCAGGAGGCAGAGGGCATTCACTTAGCTACAGCACTGTAGTAATAATGGCCAGCACACCCTCACTCGGGCATTCGCTGGGCACACGCCTATCATTGCAGCTACTCTCGATGCTAAGGCAAGAGGATCTCGAATTAGTGGCCAGCACAGGTGATTTAGTGGGAACTTATCTCATAATAAAAATGAAGAGGAATGAACGTGGCTCTGTGGCAGGATGCCCCTTGGTTTAGTCCTTTAAGAAGCACCTTTTATGGAATGCTTAGCTTTTCTAACTGTTTGATGCCTTAGGAATCGTGCCCAATTCCTAACTGTGAAGAACCAGAAGTTCAGGGATGAAGCAGCATGGGGTTGAATGGGGATCATGTTGGAGGTGGAGTCTGAACCTGCCCAGGACCGTATGGTCAGCAGCTGTTAGCGTTGGCTTTTGTGGGTTGGGGGTTTGTCCAGGATGCAGGTGTCGGTCCTCCGTGCCCAGAGGAAACTGGGAGGCTTCT